ATTTACACAGAGTGAGGCAATACAGTTAATAAAATGGGACATTCAATAAACAATGTATTAGGATTGTAGAAGTCTGGAACCAACCAGAAATCTAAAAGACAGAACGGAAGCAAGGCATATTAATATAACACATTAAGCAGTGCAAAAATGCATAATAGGATCCTACTTACAGTAAGCTATACACAGCATTATAGATCACAATCCCTAATCCAAGTTAAGTTTTGTGAACCGTTTTGTAAAGTGCAACCTTATTACCTGTGCAGAAAAGCCCTCTTGAATAATGCTGTTTCCTGTTGTTTCTTGGCCCCAGGCAGGCAGGGGTGGGGAGAGGCAGGGAGGAAGCAACTTACCCTCCCTCTTCTCCTGCCTCCTCCTGGCTGAATGAGGGTCGGAAGCGGGGTGGCCGGAAGCAGGGGGCGGGGCTTCGTCATGTGCCCCACCCCCCGTGCCTCACCCGGGGGAAACTGTGATCCCCCGCGATCCCCCCCGAAATGACCTCTGGATGTACTCAACTGAGGTTACCTATTACATATGGGAAATTCAATTGGACTTTGTATGTGATAGCTAATACCTTAAATTGAGCTCAGTAATTGATGGGCAGCCAGTGAAGTGCCTGCAGAATAGGAGTAATGTGAGTGATTCATCCAGCTCCCAATACCCAAGCTGCAGACTTCTGCACCAACTGGAGTTTCCAAATTGATTTTGACTGGAGACCAATGTACAGTGCACTACAATAGTTTAGTCTTGATGTTATTGTAACATGGATCCAGGTGGCCAGATCAGCCATCTCAAGGTGAGAGGCCATCTTTCAGGCTAGGCTGCGTTGGAAGAAAGCCTTGCTTGCAGCTGCATTAACTTGCTTCTCCAGTAATAACATTGGGTCCAGTGCAACCCCAAAGCTCTTAACTGAGTCAGCAAGGGTCAGCTGAACTCCATCACAAGTGGGGAGCACAGTGTCCTTCAAAATTTCTGCCTTCCCAACCAGCATTACTTCTGTATTTTCAGGGTTTAGTTTCAATTTGTTCACTTTTAGCCAGTTAACCACAGCAGCCAGGCAGTTATTCAGGACCTCTACTGCATCACCAGGAGATCTGGATAAAGGTAAACAGAGCTGGGTGTCATCTGCACACTGATGACAACCAACCCCAAAGCTACGAATGATCTGTTCTAAGGGCTTTACATAGAGACCGAAAAGCATGGGGGACGGAATTGTGCCCTGTGGAATTCCACAAGATGGGTCCCACAATGATGATTTCCAGCAGCATTCCTTTAAATCCAATCTGTAAGGAATTATTTCAACCAGATTAACACGCACCTCTGTCTTTTCAGGGTTTAGATCAAGGTGGGCAGCCGTGTTGGTCTGAAGCAATACAACTATGATACGTAATTCCATTTCATCGTCTGACGAAGTACGCACACACATGAAAGCTCACCTCTTGGATAAAAACTTGTTGGTCTTAAAGGTGCCATTGGACTCTAACTTTGGGTTATTTTCAGGGTTTAGTTTCAATTTGTTCACTTTTAGCCAGTTAACCACAGCAGCCAGGCAGTTATTCAGGACCTCTACTGCATCACCAGGAGATCTGGATAGAAGTAAACAGAGCTGTGTGCCATCTGCACACTGATGACAACCAACCCCAAAGCTACGGATGATCTGTTCTAAGGGCTTTACATAGAGACTGAAAAGCATGGGGGACGGAATTGTGCCCCGTGGAATTCCACAAGATGGGTCCTACAATGATGATTTCCAGCAGCATTCCTTTAAATCCAATCTGTAAGGAATTATTTCAACCAGATTAACAGATTATTTCAACCAGCATCCTGCTACCTACTTCTACCTCCAAGTGCTTCAACAAGATGGTACGGTCTACTGTATCAAAGGCTGTAGATAAGTCCAATAAGAGCAACAAAGAGGCATGTCCTCTTTGGACATCAAAGGAAAACTTTGATGCACCTAGTTAGGAATCCTCTCGCCCAAATACCAATGCACTTCACAGAAAAGAACAGAAAGTCATTGAATGCACGTGGCCTTGAATTGTAGCCACAGAGCTCCTCATTTCTAGCTACCTAATATATTTGTCATTTATTTATATTTCTTTCCCATATGACTCCCAGTATTCACAAAGACTAGGATGAGAAACAACGGTTTTACAGCCAATCCTTTTTTTGTTGCATATCGCTTGTACAGAAAGTTTGATCATATGAACTATGGGCGAAAGGTGCTCCCAGATCTTGCTCACCTTCCTTAGTAGCTTCACTTGACTCCCCCCCCAAAAAAAAAGCTGGTAGAGGGAGTTGGGTGAATGCTGTACATAAGGTACTGGAGGCTGCAGTGAGGAGGAAGGATCAGACAGTGGTGAAAGTAAACTCACATGGGTCAGAAGCAATGCTCCCTCTAAGCTGTGGAGTCTTGTGAGCAAAAATTTTACTTTGTGAGCTGCTGG